TCCAGGAAATGTTTAAGGGGCGATCCCTAATCACCTGGTTACCCTTGTAGACCAGTATGATTCGGCCTGACCCTTGCGATCTGGCCGAACCATAGCGCTATAAGGCAGGAAGAGTAAAAAAAAAATCACAATACCGTTGGATTCCTTTCCAGTGGTGCTGTGACAGTGTACCGTCTTGAGCGACGAATGTTGGTTCTGTTTGAAAACTGACGACCATTCTAGGTCATTCCTAGTAGTGGTATAAGACAGCAGTCCCCAACCTTTTTATCTCCGCGGACCGGTCAACGTTTGATAATTTTACCGCGGCCCTCTGAGGGGGAACGTTGATTTTTTATATTTTAGATTGATTTAATTTAATAATTTTAATTTAATTGTATTTAAACACGCCTTCAAAATAAAATACAGTTACACCAAAAAATGAATATAATGTGATTTAACATTTTAACTCACTAGANGCTTTCTCTGCGCCTCTGCTGCAATATGTGTTTTCTCCATTTGAGAAAGGACATGACATTTGGATACAGCCTATGTGCTGTAACGATAGAGACATGCTAAGGCAATTATCTGAGCCCATCTTGTAGTAACTAGAGATGCCACGAATATTCGGCTACTATTCGGTATTCGGCCTATTCGGCTACTTTTTTTAATATTCGGTATTCGGCCGAATAGTACGCAACATTCGGCCGAATACCGAATACCAAATCATGAAAAAAAAACCGCACATATTACTCAAAAATGTATTTATTTTAATCAAAAATTATTACATTTAATACTTAAAATCTATCAGTGGTAAGTTGTAATGAATGAAAACAATTTTTTCAGCATTTGTTGATTGCAAACGGTTGCACTTTTCCTCATAAACTATACCTGCTTCTGAAAATAGCCTCTCATTATATACACTACTGCTGGGAGACGATAGATAAATCTTAGTGAATTCTGTCAGGCTTGAATACTGTTTTGCGTTTGCTGACCACCACTTGTAAAGGTCTGCCGTCCGATCTAGGCGAACAGTTTTCATATAAAGTGATACAGTGATATTTTTTATGTAATAATTAGTAACGCAATTTGATGTAACAATGAACAAATAATGCATGTTGTGACATGATCTACTCGCAAATAAAACAAATGTGCCCGCAGTGTCGCCACCGCACCCACCGTAATGTATCAGGTCGTAACATATCACCCGCGAAATGTACACTTATTTTGCCGAACATTCGGCCGCCGAATATTCGGCGCTTCGGCCAAGAGCATAGCCGAATGTTCGGTATTCGGTATTCGGCAAAATCACTATTCATGGCATCACTAGTAGTAACAATCAATGCCTACTGCAAGTCTAAGGAAACTTTGCATTGATGTGACTGGATAAGACCATTATCTATGTCAGCGGTCCCCAACCTTTTTATCTCCACGGACCGGTCAACGTTTGATAATTTCACCGCGGCCCACTGAGGGGGAACGTTGATTTTTTATATTTTAGATTGACTTAATTTAATAATTTTAATTTAATTGTATTTAAACATGCCTTCAAAATACAGTTACACGAAAAAATAAATATAATGTGATTTAACATTTTAACTCACTAGAACGCTAAATCAATGAGAATCCTGAGCACGTTTCTTTGTAACGCGACATTTCCATCTGGAGGNACCTTTTTATCTCCGCGGACCGGTCAACGTTTGATAATTTTACCGCGGCCCACTGAGGGGGAACGTTGATTTTTTATATTTTAGATTGATTTAATTTAATAATTTTAATTTAATTGTATTTAAACACGCCTTCAAAATAAAATACAGTTACACCAAAAAATGAATATAATGTGATTTAACATTTTAACTCACTAGAACGCTAAATCAATGAGAACCCTGAGCACGTTTCTTTGTAACGCGACAGTTCCATCTGGGGGGTAGTAGGAGACAATAACATCCGAAGTGTGTTTCTTATGTCCAGTTTATTTCGTTGTTCCGAGAGAAATACACCATAGTAAATAAAATGGAAACAATTTAATGTTTCTTGGGCGGCCCGGTCCCATTTGATCCACGGACCGGTACCGGTCCGCGGCCCGGGGGTTGGGGACCACTGGCGGTGCAGCAATATGTTCGGATATCCTGCATCCTTGTATGTAACCTTTTCTGGCAAGGCTACAAACAACCATTTTCCAGAAAAACAATACTCGGCTGCACATGGCTGATATTTTTCAGGAAGTCTACATCAAATTGCTATATTTGGTTGGTCTGTCCGGTATCCAGAATTTTGTCCATTGAGCATTTGTCAGACCAGATGAAACGCCAGCTTCGATATCTACGTATGTTAGCAGCATGGGTATTGTAATTGCAAAAAAATTTTAGAATTTCAAAAAGACAAGAAGAGTGACTATTGATGCAACAAGTTCTCGGGAGGAACTGCATCTTCATTGCCATCGTTGACATTCCATTCAGGCAGAGAATTAAGCATCTTTTGAACAAATTGCCATCATTATATTTGCACATTGGCAGACCATGCAGTCTCCAGAATGACATTGGCAACAGTAGCCAACAATTGCTTATAATAAGGTAATTTTTTTCTTACAAGCCAAAACATGCATCTTACTAAGCACGAATAGAGCAACTTCACTTGACCTCAAATTATGAGGGTATCGTCATCGTCAACATTATTAATGTTTCTGCAAAGATTATACCTATCCGGATTTCTTACAATCTCAAACAATCGATCGATCATTTGATGGATTTTGTCGGTTATTCCAATAGTCATGACAATGTCCTAGCTGGCATGTCCTGCCAAGTGCATTCAAATCTGCTAGAGTTAAATGCAGAAATCTCCCCAGTTGTTCTGCTTTTGCTGCAGTCTTACATAATTCAGGGTTTATTCCATGTCTGTTTAGACAATGTTCTTTAACTAGTGCTGCCAAATGATTCAGTGTGTTCATGGGTTGTTGAGAAACCCCGGCTATGTTAACAATGCGAGAAGCGTAGGATACTAACGGTGTAAAGGACATATCGCATACGCAACTTTAAGATCATCAAAGAGTGGCTCAATATTTGTGTTTCGAATCTGAGTGGTAAAAAAGCGAAATGTTTTATTTAGTTGACCAAACACATTTTAGTCATAATTTAAGAGGATATCGCTTGTTTACTTGCTAGATGGCCTTGCTGATAAGCGTGTAATATAAAGCGAAAACTAGGTTGTTGTACCGCTAAACGATTGTTTTGAAATCCTTCACCAGTCTCTCCCATCAAGTACATGATTATCCTAGTTCGACTGCATGGGACGTGTTATGGTTTCACTATTTGAAACAGAGCCTGAAAACGGACCAATGACATAAAAATATATCCCTCAGCTGTATCTGAGAATAAAGGCCATAAAATGTTACAACTCATTGAGAATATGTCAGGCGTTAAAACTCAAAGCAAAAGTTCTCTATTATCAGATTACTTGTATTATATATAAGAATTATTGCTAAATTCTTTTGGTTTACGTGGCAAAACCAACTTTCTAGTGAGCTTAGAGTCCAAAAAGAAAATTCCGTAACATCTCCCGGGTGCCAACTTATTGTGGCAAAGTAGTTTCAATAAATGCGATTCCCATTAAAGAACACCAATACGAAACAGTTTATGTTATGTTGAAGGTCAGATCAAACTCTTCTTATGTGTATACACGATAAAGTTATGACTAGTAAATTTTCCCTGAGTGCAACGTTAGTGTGTCTAACATGTTGAAGTACTTTACCAAAGGATAAACAGTGTATTCAGAACTCAAATCGAAGTCGGTCATTTGTTAATTAATGTCGACCAGTGGCGTGATCTGCACTGAGGAATGTGTTCTTTGTTCGAAGACTTTCGGCAAATTGCAATAATGTTGAACACTCATTGCAGTTGTTGCACCTTCGATGTGTATGTATGTTCTCAATATTGGCGAGCTCACAATGGTTATTGAAATAGTGAGAACATGCATATGCACGCTCAAAAACAAACATTCTTCCAAGATAATTACGAATACGTTCTTCCTTTCGAACGAATATGAGATTTATTGGCTCATTCCAATAAATGCATCTTCGGCGGCTGCTTGTGTTTATACTTCTACAAAGATTGGCATGAATGCGAGGGAATTCTGATAAGCAAATAATTAATGTCAACTAGATGGTCAATTTTGACGGCAGACACTGCTCCACTAGATGCTTCAGCACTGTGTTGACTTTCACAAATAGCAAATCACTCTTCTACGGTCTAAAATTCAAGCATTTCTTTCTGTTCCACATATTATCTCCTTGATGCAACAGTGCTCTCATTTGTTCTCGTGCGAAATAACCTGCGATAGCAGGTTAGCTTAGCAGCAATAGACGAGACCATTTTGTTCAACTTCTTAACTCTATGTATGATCCCAACGGCATCCATGCTGTTCAGTGATGACTTTGTAAGTCCCACCAATTGACTGATTTGAATGCATTCAACGCAGTTAGGATTGCTGGAGCTCCAGATCGGTTCCAATGTGCATGCTGAAGCTTGTTAAGAATAGGCATTTGTATATAGTACTTGTACAAGTATGTTAGAATAACACTCTCCAGAGAGCGTTATTATTATACAACAGATGCGGTTTCTCTGGAAATAACTTAATTAACTGAGATTCGTAAAAAGTAACAGTAAGGCTACGTCCTACGTAGCAGCGTCCAGCGACCGCGGGCGTGAACGCGCTTTCAAGCGGAGCGGACAAACCGGTTCAAGCAAATGTTACGGAGTAACCGTGTTTAGCGTGTAGCAACCACAAGATGATGCTTCTACACACGCATGCAGGAAGCAGTTACCAAGGCTATTTGATCGCCGCTTCCATTGCTCGCGCTTCCAACGAAGAAAATGGTTGATTTTGAAGATGAATGTAAACAGAGTGACAAATAAATTGTGTCTATATGTTGTATATACTTTAATTAATAATCTCTTACGTAATTTAATAATTTCTGATTTTGTTTAAAAAAATAAAACATTTTTTAAACTTATTTTATAAAGATTCTNAATTTGTCTGCAATTTTTCTGCAATCATCTATCTGATTTATTCTTCGTAAATATGATTTTTATTCATTTTATGTATTCATAATAAGTCATAAATACTATACTATTATTTATACATAACAATTGTTTTTTTTTCTTTTAATTTTTAATTGATTGTTATAACGTATTATGACTATAAGCGCAGAAGAGCAGATGGTCGAGCCCAACCTGCCGCCCGGGGTCTAAAACCAAATCGTTTTTCTAAATTTCCAAAAATTGGTTGCCGGCCACTTTTTTGACCAAATTAGATTATTTTTATTATAAGCCTCGTGACAGACAAAAAGGCTTAGTCTTAATATCTTCGGGTAATGTGAAAATTATACTTAATTCTTAATTCTGGAAACGATAAAAAATTATATTACTTCCTCATTATAAATTCGATTTATAGTGACACAATAGGGACAACACGACATATATAGGTTAAACCATCGTTTGAATTTATTGGGTAGACACAAACGTGAATTTGAATCCTTCAGGATTGTAAAGGTAAGGAATTCAACGCAATACATGGGTGATCTGCCAAAAGGGAATGAATTCCGAGAAGACTTTCTATGAGAAACCGGCCCCTACGTAACTGTTATACACGTGAAGAAAACTCCACGTGGCCAATCCATCGGTCAGGTGTTATCTACCAGTGTTCCGTGGTTTTATCTATTCGGCCATTGGTAGGGTCTCGTGAATCTCTCAGAGCGGTAAGGTCAACGCCATTTCCTTTATTGGATATAAAATCAAAGAATATTTTAATTATGGTCTATCTCCTCCAATGCTTAATATTACTGATTCTAATTCATTTAACCGATATTTAAATTTATTTTCATCGTGTATAAGTTGAAAGTCTCCTTTATATTTATCCGTTTATCGTCTTCTTATACTTTGTAGAGTAAAATCGATAGAACAGGAAAATATAGAAGAATCGAAAAGTATGTTGATGTTTTGGACAATTTTTGGATGGCTTTATTTTCTGGAGCGCATCTCTTTTTTCTCCAGATATATTCATTATTATTGGATTCTCAAAGTAATCCATTTGTATTTTAAAATTATATAATGATTTGTTTTAAAGTTATTAAATTTTATTTCTTTTTATTTCAGATGGTTTTTCTGTTCCTTTGTTTCGTACCAATACCAAATAATTTATCCGATTACTTCATTCAGACCATTGATAATGTTAAAACATATTAAAATGATGCGGATAAAAACGCTGCTACGCGGAAAACCTCTTCGGAGTCTCAAGAATTTTTGTTTAAAATTTAAGAAATAAGAATAAAATATGAGTAAAAATATGAAAAATAAAGTAATAAATATATATATACAGTCAAACCTCGAGTTACGAACGCCCCTGTTTACGAACAAAATTATGAACGCCATGTTTTCTCCGTTTACATGCGATAACTTGGTTTCCGAACAAGCTACTCTGCAAGAGCCAGCTGGCGCAGATTAGAGAAGCACATATAGTTAACTCCCTAAACCTCCCAGGGAAGGGAGGATGTGCTTAATGCTCTTATTAAAGAAATGTGTGCAAAATGGTGTAAAGTGCAGAGTTTTGTTGAAGAGTATCATCTTGATAAGGCAGTAGCAAGCCATGTCATTGACCTTTTTAAATAACAATGCTATGTCTCACTTCTGTAACATTGCGAAACGTAGGCAAAGCACATTTCATTAGATAAATTTCTAGTAAAAAATGACATCTAATGTATCCCAGGCAAAATCTGTTAGTTAGAAGCTGAAAATCCAAAAGGTAAAACAAAAACACCTGAAGTGCAGTTACGGAAGCAGAGATCAATTTTCTTTTAATTCGATGATATCTGTTATGATGTGGGAAATAGAAGAACAAATAAAACCGGTAAGATATGAAGTTTCTAAACCAGGTGAGAATTTGTATCAGGTAGTAATTGGAAGGACGATAATTGAGTATGTGCTGGTATACAATTGAAGTGTTGAATTTGCAAATAATTTGATTCATAATTTGTCATTAGATCTACTATACAGACAGTATTTTTTATAGCTTGTCGTAGTAATCTTGGATTTAACAACTTTGTGAAACAAGGTTTTACAAATTGAAAAACCTTATTTTGATGTCTACCCTCTCCGTTCCAAAAATTTCGGCTTAGCGTAGTAACTGAGAGGAAATCAATTACAAAAGGTGGTGATATTTCTGAAAATATCTTCTGAGTGTTAACGAATCGTCGATTTCCTAGGATTGTTTGTTTGTATGGCAACACATCACTTGGGCGATCTGCCTAGGGGAGATGCCATCCGGGAGGTCTTTTTAAGGAAAACTGGCCCCTATTTGAACGTTATAGACGTGGAGAAAACCCGGGAAACACCACATGGCCAGCCCGTCCGAGCGAGGCGCAAACCCACGACCGAACTCCCAGTGTTTAGGGTACGAAAACCTCTTGGCCACTGGTGGGCGCGATCTCCTACGAACAACGACGGCATCCGCAAAATACAATTAGATAAAATTCATTAGCCTAAACTTGCTTGATCTGGTTTTGTTAACTTTTAAATATATAAATATAAAAATATACAGCATACATTACTTTGATATTTATATAGTTTTTCATATCAAATTTTAATGGATATGTATATATCGTTTATTTAATCCAGTGGTTCTCAACCTTTCGGGGGCTACGTAACACCATTCATATACATTTTATTATACGGATCATAGCATCAATATGTTCAAAAAATGAGGAGCAATTCCGTGTTTACTATTCTCGGGAAACAATGAAGCAATAAACTAATAAAATAGAAATATTGGAAAACATTGGTAAATATGGCAGCCAACTGCTCTGAGGGGAATAGAATGCGGACGAGTGGAATATCCGCAGAATTTTTTCGAGGATTGGCCGTCAGGATATGTCAAACACCATTTCTCTCCACCATACTCGACCGGTCCGTTGTGGGCTTCGCCGGCCCAAGGTCTTAGATTTCTAAGGTTGCCTCATACAGCCGATTTAGCCATTTCCTGCCAGATTCCGGATATACGTCATCCGTAGTCGAACCGTGGCCTAGCGACTGCTTCGCTACTGTAAGCGAGGTAAGGAAATTTTGGAATTTAACTATTTTTTTAATTTGTCGAGCGTTTTTACACTGATAATCTTCGAAGGTAAATATATCTATAGTTATTACTATTATTAAACATAATTATGTTGATAATTATATCGATAAAAATTGTTCGGAACTAACAAAAGTGTTTCTAGAACAGTTTGATATTTTGTTGTAGTCTTTACTCTTCGTTCTGTAGAAATTACAGAATATGGTTACGGATAAAATATATTTATTAATAAAATACTTTAAAATACTAAGAATAGTTTTCTGCATGTATAAAAATAGTATCTGCTCGATGAAATGACGACTACAAATAATAAGCTGGCCCGTAACAGGATGGTAACACTTTTAAGATAACCTGCGATGTAAAAAATTATTATTTACGTCCAACGTACAC